TAGGGTGTGAATGGTGACATTGAATTGTGCGGAGGGATAAAAAAAATTGTGTAATGCGGTTCAATGTAAATGCGGTTCGTGCAGGATCATGCGGTATGCGGAACTACTGCGGTTTTATAAAAAAAGCGGGACAAAAACAAAATTTGATTGGTAAAACATATTATACTGCGCAAAACAACTATTTGGATAATTTTATCTAATAATTGGAGTGACCAAAACAATTTTTTCTTTAGATAATATTAGATTTTAGTGATATATTTGACGCATATTTTTTTCAAAATTTTTAAAGTAAAAACCGCACTTGTATATGTTATACGGACGAGAAAAGGTGCGTGTCAAATATTGTTGTGCGTTTCTTTAAATTTGTTCATGCACTTTTATCAAAGGCGGTACAACATTTCTTTTTAATTTTTTAATCATAATACGTTTATACCACAATTTTGTTATTGATTGGTGTAATGAAATGCGGTCACGGAAAACTACACCAAAAACCGCATTATGCCATGTTACCAATCACTGCCTAACAATGAAATTTGATACGCATGTTAACTTGTGATTGGTTAACATGTATGCGGTTTTACAAAAAAAAACTTAATTTCGGCATCCGCATTTTTACACAATCAAGGCCTAAATTAAGTTGAAACCATTGACAAGTCACACGCCACTAAGAACACTCTCATTGCAAGTTAATCACCTAAGACCATCACTAACCCTGATACAGATAAGAGTTCATAAACTAATATTTAGTATTAATTTTATATTAAATTAATGTTTGAGACTCAAATTCATTTTTTCAGCAATCGACCTAATTAACCGTGATACTCAACAAACACCGACGAATAACAGATCTTAGATGCCTTCCATGAAGATGTTCCTTCTAGGAAATCCCAAAATTCTCTTCCTTTATATATAAAATCCACTCTTTCTTCCATACCAACCAAAACCCATCTCTAATCTCTCCTCTTCAAATCTTTCTTCGAATGACTTCTCCTAAATCATCAACAAGACAAACCCAGCAAAATCTATAACCCAATTTCCACGATTTCTTCCCAACGATGGCCGGAAATCTTGGAGGAGAATGTCTAATCGATGAGCTTTGCAAAGGATTCGAGCTTTTGATAGACATATGAGAAAATATGAGGATCCTCAAGATCCAGCGACGAGAATCAACGACGTCGACGAAGAACATATCTGGTTTCGCCAAACACAAATCGAGCCGGTTCAATGGGTTAGCGACATGTGTCCCGTTGATACTTCTCAAGAGTTTCTCCCGGATGAGATGATTCAGTCCAAAGTGACCCATTAATTATTATTTTTTCTTTTTTTCAAATTTTTTTAATCACTTGATAATCAGAGAGTATCACCGATACTGATGCTCTAAGTATTTCATAACAAATAATATTATTTTATTAGGTGAGTATATACAATAGTGGAGAGTCTCATTTGAGAGATTTTTGGGTGGGTTCTCTACTATTGTAGAGACACACCCACTAAAATATTATTATTTTTATTCTTTTAATTTTAAGAAATTCATGGGGAGAGACTTGCAAAGAGATTGCTCTAAAAACACCCCCAATGGAGTTTTTTTTGGTACCTAGAGAATTAAAAAAAAAAATTATAAAAGTAAGAGAGAGATGAGTCTCTTCATGTAGAACCCCTCAACTTGTCATAATTTTAATGGTTTAATGTCATTTTACTAATTTAATTTTTAAATAAACAATTAAATTAAATGAAAACTCTAAGATCGACCAAGTTCACTGATGTTAGAGTTTGCTCAAAAATAGGCACATTGTATTACTTTCTTTTGATTATAATATAATGGATCATATTTATATGTATAGATAAAAAAATCGTTTCATTAATAGTACAAATGGTTGACACATATTAGAGGAACAACATTAAGTGAAAGTACTTCTATTTGTGTTAGATTTCTTTTCATCTAAATCTCATTAAATCCCACCAAATCGGAGGAAAATAAGTCTTATTTTTTTTGTAAATGATGAGCGCTACATGTGTAAATATATATATGATAAGAGAGATTGTCCACACATTACGTGGATTTAAAAATTAACATGGTAAAATATGCAGCAATTTTTTCTTATTGATTATTTGTGTATTTAATATTACAAAAAAAAATTTGTTGTACTAAATAATTATCTAGGTTAGAGGATTAAACATTTAGAGTAAGTTGTTGGACATATACAATGTTATGTGTGAAAAGAAATAGACTATTCATTAATAAAAATTACAGCGTATGCATATGGAAGATATCTTCTTTTGTACAAATTCGCAACTTATATGTATTTAATTTATCAGTATTTACTACGGTTCCCTAAAAAATTGATTAGTTGGTTTTTTTCTTGGATCATATACATTTGTTAAAACATCTACTGATCAGACAAGTTGTAGTATATTTTGTTTCTATCGAAACATCTGCTATATCTCAACGGAGATGTTGGAATGCATCTTTGTGTTTTATTTCGGTAGAACCTTAAATTGTAACGAAAAAATAATTGATATTTGATTGTATTTTTTTTTTGTTTCACTCTTTGTATCGTTTTTCTACGATTTTAATTTTTCACATCGATTCATTTGTGAATTTTTTTTTTTTGGATTAACAATTTGTGGAGGAATAAGGTTTCCTTTCGAAAATATTGGTTAGGAGATGATTGACAAGTTTAGGATTCTAACAATCTTAAATTTCTAAAATAACGAATTAATTTTCTCACACCATTTTTTTTAATGTTACTATTCTTTTTATTAAAGCTTTTTGTGTCTTTTTGTTTTAAAATCGTAATTACCTATCTAAATTTTTAAATATTTTTATATAGTATATTGCTGGGTTTAATAAATAAAATATATATATTTTTAAACCGTTAAAAGTTTACAGTAGCACATTTAATTTGAAATTATAATTTTTGATGGATATTAAAGAAAAAAAACTGAAATTGGTCAATAAAGTTACACAACTTACATTAAAGTTAGCTATTAAATTGTAGGAATCAATTGTTAAAGTTATTAAAAATACTTAATATGTTTATTTTCAATAAATATATCCAAAAGATAAATGTCAAAATATGTGACACATGGTATCCTCATGATTTGGGTTTAGAAAATATCCTTTTGTAACATTTTTTTTAGAACTAGGGGGTGATCCGGATTTTTACCATCCGACAAATCTTTTTAGGGTGAGTGTAGCCGTCGAGTAACCCACTCACCAGATTTTTTAATGGATCTAAGCGTGTCACNACTTTGACTGGCCAAATGAGAATGGTTAGACAATTCCAAGTTTGAGAGAAATTAAATATGGAAAAATGGTTGTAACCTACCCGAAATATAGGGTAATATGTAGAAAACTACCCGAAGTATAAAAATGTGTTTTAAACTACACCAACTTATAAAAATGTGCTTTAAACTACACGAAGTATGAAAAAACATGTTGCAAACAACATATTGGGTTTTTAAAGCTTAAAACGTGATTTTAGGACCAAATTGTAATTAAATTTTTTTAAACCCGATTTAATCAAATATACGATCCGATCAATCACTTAACCCTACCCGGTTCAGATTATCATTTTAACTGGGCCATATTAATTTGACCCAACATTTTTCTAAAGCACAAAAACGAAGACATATATACAAATGTCGTGAATTATGTGGAAACAGAGAAAACAAAGCAAACAATATAACTTATAGTTGATTAAAATATCAAAATATCGTTAGTTTGAATAATAAACATAACAATTTAGCCTATCAGCTTTTAACAGTTATTAAACCAAAAACAAACTTAGCCAAGTAATTTTAGCAAAAGAAAACAAATACAATGATAACTAACGATATTTTGATATTTTAATCAGAATACTTGGCTAAAATTTGAAAACTGGTTATATAATGATAAACACGCCATTTCGTTTTCAAAGGTAAGATCGTAGTGTTCTTGATTTGAGGAAATTGGATGAACAGAGTGTTAGGAATATAGATGGGCATGACGTGAAGGATAGGGGGAAGAACCCATGACGTGTTTATCATAGCTTGGAAGCCAACNTATATGAACAATCAAAACAACAAAANTGNAAATCCAATCTAGTCCAAAACTCCTATACAGATTTCAAACGTAATTCTAATAGGATATAACTCAATCACTTTGCAATAAAGCTCACATGGTTTATAACCAAATACAAAATACAAATGAGCCACATGAGAGTCTCCTAGTGGTCGGGTCAGATATTTGATTAAATCGGGTTTAAAAAAATTTAATTACAATTTGACCCCAAAATCACGTTTTAAACTTTAAAAACAAATATGTTGCTTGCAACATGTTTTTCCATACTTCGTATAGTTTAAACCACATTTTTATAAATTGGTGTAGTTTAAAGCACATTTTTATATTTCGGATAGTTTTCTATATATTACTCCATATTTCGAGTTACAACCATTTTCTCATTAAATATTGGGTTAAGCCCACATAACAATTTGTTTTTTACATGGAAACTACTAACCCAGGTTTCTTTTTGTAACATTTGTTTAAAAACAAGTGTTACCAATGTCTTTTTCGATGTAAATTTTGTGTTTCGATATAGTTATTTGTATGAGATGTTATTAAAAATTATGGTAGGATGAAAAGTATAGATCACATAATTTATAAAAATTAAATTGATAGCATTTTTAGTGGGTTTACAAGTGTAAATATTTGGGATAATTTACCACTAATACAACAAAAAAATATAATTTACAAACTAAAAAAAAAACTTAAATCCAATGTCCAAGATTGTGCCATATATTTCTTTTTTACCAACTTTTTAAATATTGTTTTTTTTGTTATTCATTAAAAAAGCTCTAAACATTTTCTCTTTATATATAACTTGTTAACTAAAAAATTATGAACCGAGACTTCTTTAGACCGAAAACAGAATATATATAAGTCTCTATAATATATCGATAGTTAATATTAACAGTATGAAAATGGAAATTGGCTAAAATAATCTACAAAAAATCTATATTTCACTAATTAATCAAATAATTCTAATATAATAGCTTTCATTTCTCCATATCATGTTATTTTTATTAAATTGCAAATATTTTTTTTTTTTTTGTTATTGTTGCAAATCACCTATGAAAATTGCGTATCTGGAGAAAAAAACAATTGGGAAGATTTGGTATCAAATTAGTAATAGTTAATTAATTAAAAGAGTCGTATCCATTTACATGATTATGACTTAAGCACATGAAGCCGACATTAAGATTTGATACATCTCACATGGTCACCATTGTGATAACGTCACCCACGTTTCCAAAAGTAAATTAATTTCATCTAGTTTGTATAATTATAATTCTAATTAGACATAACCTGGTCTATAAGAATGTG